GCACACAAAGAATCGTAATCACAGAACTAAAGGCGATTGTAGAGATGGAATTTACAAACGATTCTCAATAAAAAACAAAATACATGGCGTTATCTATGTTATATCAGCGTTAAAAGTGAAGTATATTGAAGAAAGGAGCCGCCGGTAAGAAGTTTTTCCAGAACTTCGTTTTATAACACAGTCAATCTCGCAACTTCTAGCTTCTGGCTTCGTACAACAGAAGCGTCGAGAAGGCGTTTTAAAAGATTGATAAGATCCTCAGCCGGGCCAAAAAAGCCGGGTAGGATCTTTGAAATTCAGCAATAATGCCAATAAATAAACATGCTAGTCATCTCTTTCCTGACGTCCTCACAAAGGAACCATGCAAAAATGTGAAAGGCGCTCATCACACATACACACACACACACACACACACACACACGTACGAATATACACATTTGAGAGAGATAGACGAGAGAAAGAGAGATGTACGAAAATACACTACTCACCCTCTCCATATCCACGAAATCGACGTCGAGCTTCGTTCCCTCTGCTCCGCCCATCTTTTCCGTCATGTACTGCAAGAGAGAACCGTTATCCTTAGCTTAAAATCTATAGCCACTGGTGAAATGAATATCGCACTTTACCGATTTCACAAATCTCTTGATTCGACCTGACAAGGTCGTGCACTTGTCGGAACTCGAGTCGGTTTAATTTGACAAAACTTCTCGACTTTATATCTGGATATATTAGAACTTTAGAGAGAAAAAAGTATACAAGAGTTGGAATAAACGTACGGCTAAATATACAGGGATTTTCGATAATTTAAGACTCCGAAGGTGCGGAGAATCAAGACAAGTGCAAAAATCGCGAAGACGACAATTTTAAAAATACATCGGATTTAAAGAAGGCAGAAAACCGACAGGTGTATCTCGCGTTTAGTCAATTTTAGCGTATCTTGAGCGAGCACTTCACGCTTGCACGATCACTACCCCGCGAACGAGAAATTCGTTCCTGAAAATGTTCTTTTGGACTACGTAAACCGCTCTACGAATACAAGAATATGATATTTCCGCGGTCAGACGAGGCCGGCTAATTGCTCGTAAATCGGGATTTACGCCCTGGAAAAAAAACCGGCAGGAGATTTTCTCGAACAACGGGACATTTCCCGAGGGCGAAGTCAGGAGTGCGAGACCCCGAAAAGTATCGCGGAAAGCGTTTACGTACAAAAAGGGGGGGATGTTAATGGCAGAGAAAATATCATCGACAAGGCAGGAACGGCACTTTCCTGGATCAATAACACCCGCAACAATACCAGCCAAGATCTACGAAGCGTCGCCCACACGAGTGGTGAAAAAAGGGCCACGCATCCTGCCAAGGCTCGCGAAAAATAGGTCAGACGGCTTGGCATGGGAAAGTATATGTGCGACACAACGACTATGCAATTTCTGCTAAATGAATTTCAAGTGTCCGCTTCGAGATTACTCCAAAACTTCGATGAGCCTCGTCGATTATATTTTATTGGATTAACCACTCGCGCGTGTTAAGGTTACATATATTACCGGATTTAGAACGGGAATATCGTGCAAAACACTCCTTTCACATTTTACAGCTAAATATCAAGCTTCGTACATTCTTTATCGAAACCTGCTAAATTACCTCCGCGCGGGATTAAATTTTTCTCGCGAAACTTCAGCTCTGTGTCACCTACAAGATTAAAACGATATAATACTGTACGATGAACTATACGAGACGTAAAAGAAAAGTTTGTTAAAATAAGATAATTCCGATATAGTCGGGTTAACGATTTCCTTCGCGTCCCCCTTTCCCTTTTTCTCCCTTTCTCTTTGCTGTCTTTTCCACTTAAAAATTTCCGTAACGCAAACAATAGGAAAAAAGTTACCTCGAAGTTAGCGCTATCGGTATACTCTAAGCTCTTTTAAAGCCCTTCCAAGTGCATTTTGCGCGCGTAACTCGGTTTCATTCACGCCAATTCAAATGTTTTCCCCAGCGGCAAGCAACTAGAATTCCCGATAATCGCCAGAATATCCGATCAATTCGCAATGTCACGTTCTATTGAAAAAAAAATCGACTCCCTTGTGCACGAACAAAACGTAACGTCGATGCGTAGTGCCGGGCGATGTGTTTTTTCCTGTGCAGTCAATTGTATGCAAAAAGAAAGAGAGTAAAGGACACGGAAATAGTATCGTACGTTTAACAGCGCTGAGCAGTGAGCTTTGCGAGCGGGATTACTCGCAGGAGAAGAAGGGACAGAGAGAAAGAGAAACAAAGAGAGAGAGAGAGAGAGAGAGAGAGAGAGAGAGAGAGAGAGAGAGAGAGAGAGAGAGAGAGAGAGAGAGAGA